TTCGTATAATCCAGTCATAAAAACGGAATTCCTATAGCCTAATGCGGACGGAATATGCCACATTTTGGACGAATAAATCAAAAGTAGGTCAGTACACTTGAATCAAAGCGCGATATGGACTAGTGTCTGTGAATATTAAGCCATAAAAAGACAATATATGAATCCTGCATGTTCTGAGTGTCTGTGGAAATCAGGCGCGGACTGGCCATCGGGAGAACCGGGACAATTATCGGTGGCCTGGCAGCCGATTTGGCCCGCTATTTTAATATTATTATTGTATAATTGCCTGCCAAATGTACTAAAGCGATTATTTCGTGTTCAGTATTAGGATTTTTCTATAAAGATATTGTAGTGATGTACTAATTTTGACATGTAGGCAATTTAGAAAGTATAGTTTTGTTAAATCTTGAGTATTAAAGTCATAAGAGAGATAGATATCAGGGCAAAATAAAGAGACTGAAAAGAAAAATGGAAGTGAAGATGCAGTTCAGGAGAGAACTTTTAATTTTTTTGCATGTCCCCAACCTAAAGATTTAAACCTTTTTTATGTGCGGTCCATACAAAAAATAGGGTTGTCCATGTTTCAGAATTTGTTGTGGGTGTATGAGTGTGAGATTTCCCGGCCTGAAATGTTTTTCCCAGTCCGCCCCTCGTGGAAATTAATATATGAATCCTGCACGTTCTGCGTGTCTGTGGAAATCAGGCGCGGATGGGCCATCGGGAGAACCGGGACTATTCCCGGTGGCCTGGCAGCCGATTTGCCTGCCGAATGTACTAAAGCGATTATTTTCCGAATTCGCCATTCGATAATTAAATCTCTAATAAATCATGAATCGGTTAGTCGTGACTGGCAATGCTTCGGCTCGCGCGCTCTCCGCACCTCCGCCAAACGGTTTGGATCTGAGTAATCAATGCGAGAGAGAGAATGGAGTGGACTGTGGAAGCGCACAGGTGGAGCAGAGAAGCACAACTACTGTTCAGGGTTTCAAGTGCAGGTCAGTTTCATTTGTAAATATGCTATTGTAGTTTTGTCTTTGTTTAATTAGTTAAGCAGCAGCAGCGCATTGTTCATCAGTCATCACTCAAAATACTGTATACAGGACATCATTATTATCTATTGTAATGTTACAGTAGTAATTTAGCAGACAAATAATCATATTTTATAATAGGTTTAGGGGGAGCTAGGGCAGACAACACAATCCTTACGAAAATTAACGATGATTTTACTATAAATCCAAAGACAATACTATTGTCAAAGCATGGTAACCACAAATTAACCATGGTTTTTGCTACACTAACCATAGTTTAACCATGGAATTTGTAGTAAAAATAAATACAAATGGTAATCCATTTGCCAAAAAAAAAAAAAACATGGTTACTTTTACTAATAAAAGCATGGTTAATTTTTGTAATGGAAAAACATGACTGGTGTTCAGTATTAGTATATAAAGATATTGTAGTGATGTACTAATTTTGACATGTAGGCAATTTAGAAAGTATAGTTTTGTTAAATCTTGAGTATTAAAGTCATGTGAGAGATAGATATCAGGGCAAAATAAAGAGACTGAAAAGAAAAATGTAAGTGAAGGTGCAGTTCAGGAGATAACTTTTAATTATTTTGCATGTCCCCAACCTAAGGATTTAAACCTTTTTTTTATGTGAGGTCCATACAAAACATAGGGTTGTCCATGTTTCAGAATTTGTTGTGGGTGTATGAGTGTGAGATTTCCCGGCCTGAAATTTTTTTCTCAGTGTGGAAATTAATGGCGCAGACATGCGGTTTAATTTACTACACATAGGCCTACTGAAGCTCATGGTGTTTGCAGCCTCTGCTGCCTCAATATATGAGTACATGAACATATAAACATAATCTCTAGAACTGCTCTGAGTCACTTCATGAGCATTTTACTTATTTTGAGAAAACTATCATCATATCATATACAAAGAGACACCAATGCTTCAAAAAGACACCAATGTTTCAGGAGTTTAGTACACAGAATAGCACACATGCTTATTAGATAACCATATTTGAGTTGATGTATATGCTTTTATTTATTATTATTTTTTAATTAACTATTTATTTTCCAAACCATTGTTAGATGCAGTGTTTCCTTCAGTTATACAAAGATTTGGTTTCAAAAACAGTATCAGTAAACTATTATGATTTTAAATCTGCATTGAACTTCAGATCAATCTCAAAGTAAAAGGCGGTACTAAAGTCTGATTTTGTGGTGGATGTGTTCAAATTTGATCATCTTAATTCAAGTGATGAAGGATTTTGAAAGTCTGACAGTGTTGAGCACTACTGTAAGGTTAACCCTGCATGGTGTAAATGTTTGAAAATGATTAACAGTTGCAAATACACATTCATTAGAAATTTAGAAAAGTAATCAAAAAGTAATAGTTACATTACTTTAATAAAGTAATTGAAAAAGTTACACTACTATTACATTTTAAATAGGGTAACTTGTAATCTGTAACCTATTACATTTCCAAAGTAACCTTCCCAACACGGTTTACACTTCAGTACTGTAGTACATTATAAAACAGTATGCAATAACATATTGAATGTAAATTATCATATATAGAAATTTTATTTATTTTAATGCCACTTTATTGGGACAAAAACCTACCTACAGCTAAGCATACCTAATAACACTGTATTATAATGAGGCATTTTATTTCCACTTTTCAAATATTTACTTAATTTTTATTGAAAATAGATGCCTTTCTGATCTGGTATGTAATGGGAAAAGAAGAAGCACGAGTTTGACAAAAGGCAGAATTGAACTGGGGTCGACCGCGTCAAAAGCACACATCCCGCGTGTTTTACTCACTGCGCCACTGATACTAATACTACAGATAAACAGGCGTCTTTTCTAGTGCTGTTTATCGCAGCCAGGCTTTGGTGGGCGGAGTTATTGCAAAAAGCCTCTGTAAAAACACTCAGTTTCTTTTAAAACTGCTTGACAGCGGAATTGAATTCTGTTTGCATAATTGAAATATAATTTTTATTTATATATTATATTACTGCAATATTATTATTATTTAATATCTTTGAAACAATAGGGCCTACTGTATAAACTAAGTGCTACAGAGATAAAGGTGACGTCATTTAACTTGATCGGAAACGTGTCATAGAGATTAAAGTACAATTTATGTCCTACTAACGATATCGTTTTTAGATACGTAGCGATAGTTTGTAGTTTACATGTATATGTATATACATACATACATATACAAGTGTTACATTTATAATTACTATTCCCCGCCTCCAGTTCACTCACGCGTTTGAAGATGAAACGTCACATGGAGCGCGCTGCGTTCTGGGAAACAGTATCCCATGCAGTTTGTTCAGATGCATACATCAAATTTCAGCAAATGTAGCCAGGTAATCCGGGCATTCCATGCATACAGAAAATTCACATGCTATTCACATAGCATACTGCAATATAGTAGGAGTTGTATGGTATAGTATGCCATTCCGAACACAGCTTCTGTACTGGTTTCAGTGTACTTGAGTTATATTTAGCAGATTCTGGCAACTATAGTAGGCCAACCTGGTATTCCATGCATACAGAAAATGTGCATACTATGCACAGCATACATACTGGATACCGCAGAAATAGTAAGAGTAGTATGATAGTATGGCATTTCGACCACAGCCATGCACAGCGAGCAAAGTAACTTGGGAACGACTCTTGGGAACCGGTTCTTTTTAGTAGATTAAAATATGCGGGATGGTCAGTGTAGTAGGATGGAAAGTCGTCCAAATGATTCTTATGAGTCGGTTCATTAAAAAGGTCTATCTAACTTACATAAGACTTTTCAAAACGAATTTATTTCTTAATAGTTGTATCCGTTCTTTTGAAATCTAAAATGACCTTGTCATTTGGCAACAGACTAACGTTACCGAGGGCAGTTGATGCAAGAAACACTTAATCATTACCCAACATTTATTCCTCAGAAGTACAAAAATAATCCGTTATGGAACCGGAATCGCAACCACTCCTAATTAAAATCACACTTAAGGTGTAGCCGATGGCGTGATAGAGACGGTTTTGGTGTGTGTTGTGCCAACGAGACTCGCTGTTTCAGTTACATTTACAGATTCGACATCCACTCACCCTGCGCAAATCCCTGGCTTGTCAACGATCCGAAGAGGGCTAGTAATATTGTCACGAAGAAAAGCCTCCAAAACATGGTGTCTAGTTGGTTTATTCTCAGTCCTGATTCGGGCGTTCAGGTCGAGCTGTCTGCAGTTTCACTCTAGTGCTGCTGTGGATGTTGCTGCGCTTCCTGCTTTCTGCATCATGTGACTGGGATGACAAATGTGGTTTAAAGTCCTGGGACAAAAAACTGCTTTCCTGCAGGGGGCGCTTGGCGGCTCACAAACATAAATCTTCATTGAGCAGCAATCAAATGTCAGGACGTTTTGTGTTTGATTGAAGACATTTGTGTTTTTAAAAAGTGTACCATTTAAAGGTATTATCTTCAATCTTTATTACAGACTCAAGGTCCACATAAAAAATAAAAAATAAAAAAAAACAAGACAATAGGACAACATATACAACCCACAGCATCTACCTTATTGTTTTAATTCCTAGGTCTGGTACTTGACATGCAAACAGAAATCCGCACCGACAGCTGCTATAAAAATAAGTTGAATAACAAACAGTCGTGATTGGCTCATCCTGACAGACGCCGAGAAAAGTTACATGGACCACATGCTACTTTAACCGCTATCTAGGTGATATTTTACACGCAAATAATGACACTGTGAAACTTTAATAGCATTTGAAATGAAAACACACATTGAAAAGTTTAAATATAAAGAGTATTATTTATTTGGGCCGCTAAGCCCCGCCCTTTTTCAGACCTCCACTATCGTATGCCACGTGTTTGCCTGACACGTCCTCCCAATGTTGCCATGTATAAAAATAAAGCTCATCTGGCGAAATCATGCGTGCAATATGTGTTTGGCTTATTAATAATTTGTAGAGCAGCCGTTCCAACCACCATAAAGTACTTTTACCATATGAGCCTTTACCAGCCCTCCCAACAAAATGCCGGTGAGTAATTTATAGGACATGCCCACAGGTCCATATCTCCTGAGTTTATTTTGCAACGCCATATAGGGTGCAAACACTCACTGGTTTTGAGACATAAGAGAGCTTTATACACAACTTTGCCTGACTTTAGTTTTAAAAAGGCAGCATTTCTAGATACCATAACTTAACGTACCAAAACACAGCCTACTTCAGATAGTTTATATGATATGCAAAATATGGTTATTCAAGCCATTCTGTTGTTTCAATTCATTCATTCTTTTTTTTTTTTTAATTATATGACATAATTTTGGTATCGGACCTTTGTTGGCCCATACTGAGTGATAGGCAAGAAAAAAAGAAAATGTGAGAAACAGAAGCAGGCGAACGCCTCTAAAAATATTGAAGAGAATAATCCAAAATAATTCCTTGTCTTGTGTCAGTTTTTACAATAATTTGTCTTCAAGCGCTCACGAATCAGTGCACTGAATCTATTAAAATAATAATTCTTGTTAAAGTATTTTACTATGCATTGACATTTCATCAGCAAGCAACAACTGCTGTAAAATCCCATACAAGTAATGATTAATATTTGTCAAAACTATGTTAGTACAGAAGAAACAAAACTGTAGGCTATGAATTTTGTTTATAGAATTATAACATGACAGATATTGGATCATGAACTCTTGCTATGCTGCCACCCAGTGGACGAGTCCATTAAAAAATGTGAAATTTCTGTTGATGTGAAACCAAGTGTTAATAAACCTTAGTGTCCAGGTAATTTTTTTAAAATAAAAACTGTTCATATTTATATGCACCTAATAACATAGCAAAAAAATAAATAAAATTTTATAT